GAGCACTCTGTGCCAAGAGAAGCTTTTCTCCTCTAGAAGATGCTGTAAAGCAGCCTGGCAATATCCAGATACATTCAGTAGGAGCTGGTACCATTTTGTATTTCCCTGCTGCCTCAGGTCTTCCAGACTCAGAGATAATCCAGAGCATATTTGCCCTTTGTTGTATATAGAGTATTTGGCCTGTTTTGTTAAAGATGTACATTTTTGAAGTCTTGATACAACGGTGTTTGGGAAGGAAGCTCCAAACGTGTATCAGGCAAGTGCAAGAATACAGGTTTGTAGTGTCCTCCTCCTCAAACTAATGATAGATGTGCTGCTGAGCATTGCTCTGTGCTGAGGTGGTGGTGTTCTGAGCTTTTCTATCTTGCTGGCAGTGTGCTGGCTGCTGCCTGTGAGCAGTGACTGCTGCTTCCTCCCATTGTGTCTCCAGTCTGAGTTGCTGTGAGCTCATGCTAAAAATAGTGTAGCCTCCACAGCTTTGGTCTCTGCATGTTGCCTTCTTCCTGTCTGGGGCTTAGAAAAAGCCTGAGAAAGGGTGTGTCCTGTAAAATAGGTTGAAATGTGTTACTGGAGACCCTACTCACTATAAATAAAGTGGAGGGTGGCAGAGGAAGAGCATTTCCTCCATAGGACAGTAGCTCTGAATCCTATTCAGTAAGGCCAGAAATCAGGTGGTTTCTGAATTTCTTATTACAAAAATAATCTTCCTGGTTTCATAGTAGGGCATTTCTACTGGGGAAATAAGCTTCCCCCCTGGTTTTACAGAAATTTTACTTAGGAGTCTGTTTTGCTGATCTGTTTTGCTGCTATTCTAGCTAATTCTGCCTAAATCAGGGGTTTATTTCCATGAAGAATAACAGGCAAATGTACATGTGCACTGATGTCTGAACGCAGTGCATCATCAGTGGGGGTGCTGAGAAGATGCTGCATAAGGAACTGCTCCACTGCATGGGCAAGATGTGAGGAACAATGGAAGAGAATCTGGAGTTATGCAAGTATTAATTATAATTTGGAAATTAATTACTACAAAAGTAGGCTGTAGGGCAGTACAGCTGGAGTTCCATAACTCCAAGGAGCTATACGTATCTAGGGCAGACAAAGCTGTTTCCATCGCACTGCGTCTGGAAAACACCACAAACATACACTTTCTGTTACTCTGCAAAACAAAAGTTGGGAAAAAATTAAAAGGGGGGCGGGGTCTCATTGAGGTCATACCTTGTCATTTTCTGACTCCTTGCAGATCTATAAGTACTCTTCTGCCAAGTGGGTATATTCTTTTTTTTCTTTTTTTTACATGGGTTTCTATTCAGATGGCCAAATTCATCCTAGTCTGGAGATCCTCAACAAATTTAAAGTGTCTGTGATCTTCATTGTCTTGACTGAAGAGGAAGGGTTTGGGAGCATTTCGTTTCCTGCCTTGCCCTTTCTTGGCCATAAGCAAAAGGCATTTCTCTCAAGTTGCTGTTCATGTTCCTTCCCTTCTGCTGAACTTCAGGGCTTTTTGTCTGCTGTAACTGGAGCCAAGTAGGAATGAGTGTTAACTTGTAAGGACACCAATTCAGGCTGTCACCTGAGATTATCAGTTTGATCTCTTTAATGGGATAGATGTGTTTGTTCTTTTCCAACCTGTCTTACCTTTTCCTGGGATGTTTTAGTCCGTATGGATTGAACTCTACCACAGTGTGGCTGAGTTCCTTGGAGCATCTTCAGAGTTAGGTGTGAGGCTTCCTGCTCTAGAGGATTGTCTTTGAAGCCTCTCTGAAGGAAATGTTTCTCCAGTGAGCAATTTCACAGCTGACATCCTCTCACTTTACCATTCAATTGAAACTTAGAAGACATCACTAGGAATGTGGTTGAAATACCTATCAGCGAAGGGCCAAGTCACACAGGAAGAGCCTGCACAAGCAGTCTTCATCTTCCTCCATTTAGCTCTATTACACGGATCTTTAGCTGTGAGCATGGGGAGTTCTTGATTTAGTATTGTCTTCAGATGGCTGGGGATTTTCTCCCTTCTGTCTTGTGCACCTAGAGACATAGAATCATTTGAGTTGGAAGGGACATTAAAAGGCAGACCACCCAGTCCAGCTCCTCTACAGTGAACAGGGAAATCTGTACCTGAGCAACTTCAGAATATTCAGAACATCCTGGTCCAGCCTGGCCTCCTGCACTAAACAATCTTAATAGGTTACAGGTGCTAAAATTCAGATCACAATTTCTGTTTGCATTACCATGCATTTGCAAGCACAGCTTGTCCTGTGGTAGATCAGTCCGCTATCAAGATTTGCCAGAGCCATGGTTGCAGATCCATGCCTACAGCTGATGGAAAGCTGAGTGGCCTCAGTGAATAGAGATTTCCTTTGAGAAGAGCAAGAAGAGACTTGAGCTGTTTCCCAAGCCAGCTGAGCTTGAGTATCCGCTCAGGGATCTGTGCATGCCCTGGCTCAGATCCCCTGCAGGGAGACATGGAGGAGAGGAGTTTTATCAGTTTCTTGACATTTCAGAGACCTGGAGCCATTTTTACGTGGATTTGAACTCACCCTTAACCTCTGGGTCATGGCCACTGAACTACTCTGCTGCCTGTTCAAGCTCCGGTGATCTTGGCTGGCTTTCTGGCTTAATTCAGAGACAGCCTGATGCAGCTCTGTGCAGTTAATGCCCTATTAAGCAGTTAATTATTTCTCTATAATACTAGCTTTTATCTTTAATACAACAGTTTTACTGTCTGATGATTGCACAGACCCAGATAATTCTCTTAAATCTAATGAGGCATGACAAGCCATGTTCAACAAGGCACCACGCCATTAACTTCTTACCTCTTGTCATCTTATCACACTGAATTACTATCTCTAGCCTGTGTGGCTGTGGATACATGTATGTCACTTCTTATTAGGACAACAGTAAAAATCATCCCTGATGCTCTTGTGATTTGGCTGGTGGTCAGCTTGGTGGCGTGTAGAGCCATTCTATGCCATAGGGAAGTTTTTGTACTCTTTGCTTCAAGTTTGTTAGTTTTGGCTTAAAGAATTCTGGTCTCTCAGCTTTGTTAGTCCATGGATTTATTTTTTATTTATTTATTGTGGAAAGTGAGATGTAAGTGCTTGTTTGGATGCGCCTGAAGTCCTAGAGTTGAAGGACTTTTTTTTTTTTTTCATGTGTAACCTTGTCATTGTGCCAGTAAAAGGTACAAAGTTCCACTTAATTGAGCATCCAAGCAGGGGAATTCCTAGATCTTTTCAGGCTGGATCAGGCAGGAATTTCCCTGGGAAAGCAGCCCAGAACTGTTTCTTGGGGCAGATGGTTGGGCTCCAGTTGGCAGGCTGAGTACTTGAGTACAGTGAGACTCACCCAGTGCATCATTTAATTACTGTATAGATGCAAGACAGAAAAGAGCAGTTTATTTGGGAGTAGCTGCTTCCAGCTAGTGTATTAATTTTTTCTTCCCAGCCTTTACTGAGCTTGTTGCTCTGTTGGTTGATCTTTCAGTTAATGGGTCTGTGGAGGAGTGTAATCTAGAGCTGGATACCAAATATGTGTTTGTTCTGGTGTTTGGTTAACTCTTGAAGTGACAGAGTAAGCTACAGAGCTCCAGGAGCAAAGACTTGGTGATGATAAAGTAGATAGCTGGTGGTCTGTTTGGGCTTCAGCAGCCTTTTAGAGCACTCATCTGCTCAGTACTGGGCAAATCTGGGCGGTGATGAAGGGCGTAGGGACTCATGCTTCTAACGCATACCCTTGAGATAGCTTGTCTGGGGAGGCTATACGCTGATTCATACTTGTGTGTTCTGTAGCTTTCAGGCTCTAGGTTCCCCTAGATGGCACCATCAAGCAGCTGCTGTGCTCATGTCCTAGGATGGAGCGTCAGGAGTAGCATTGAATTAGTTTCTTTTTGCCTCCGAAAAAAGAAGTCACAGATCAGTAGTTTTAACTCTGAATCCTGTTCAAGCTGGTAGTGTTCCAGGAACTGATTGTGAAAGGTCAATTCCCCATTTACATGGGGTTTTGAGGCAGCAGCTGTAATTGCAGAGCCTCTGGACTTGGATGTAGATGCTAGCAGCTATCTCACAAAGCAAAATGATGCTACTGAATGCCCTTTTATTAATTAGGTTGGGGGAAAAATATAGTGAGGAAAATCTCTCCCAGGTCTCCTTGTTGCAGGGCACTGATATCTTAGGTTTAAGGGAAGAAGACTTGGCCAGGTAGGTGGAGCTCTGTAAAACAAATTCCTAGTTGGATTGACAGCAAAGCAGTAAAAACAACTTCTGTGTGCACGATAGCACTAGGAAGCTATTAGCAGCTCCTAGTTGGGCACATAAAAGCCACCTGAATCCAGGGAGAACATAAATCTGTGGAACAAGCAACCTGGGACCCTTGGAGATGCTTCTGCAATGCTCAGAACACTGTGAGCAGAACAGAGTTTAAAAATGAAAAACAAACTTAGTGTTATCTGCAAGTAGTAATTATCTGCAAGTAGTAACTGTGATAGAGAGCTCTGGAGGGTCCTGGAATGGAGGACTGGAGTGGCTGCAGAGACTGAACTAATCTATATGCAGAGGGACTTCATTTAAAGTATTCATATATCTCTTAATATCTCGTGGTTGGTGGTACAGAAACCACATCCCAGACACAGCCAGTGAACATCCAAAATGTGTAATAAATCAGTGTTCTAATAGTGTCTCCAGTTTGTTGGCATGAGCTTGGAGCCTTATCTGTTTGCAGTTTGGTCCTGGCACCTTTATGGTAGGGGTGCTTACTGACTTCTGATCCTGTGAGCTGCAAAGAGGTGATGGCTTTATTGTGCCTCTGGAGTCCAAAAGCTTGATGGACTACTGGTGTACATGGTTTGAATATCACTACCATAATTCTGATTTGCCTGGAAGAATTATCAGGGCTGGCAGATAGTGATGAAACCTCCCCAGCTTCCCTCTGGCCACTTGACAGGGAATGGAAATACACATCTGTTCAGCTCTGATGGTTAACATTATCTTTAATTTTCTTTGCAGTAAAACGATTTAAAGAACCAAAAGAAGAGAGGCGTCCCTGGAGGATATGGTAAGATTTTAAATTTGGATGTTAAAAAGCCCATGTACCTCCAGTATTTCTTCTACCAACAATCTTCATGGCTCTGTGACTATTCTATTGGTATTTAGTCTTTAAATAAAATGCTCTGCTGCTACTTCCCAAGACAAATTTCCTAAAGCAGCTGGTACTCCCTAGAAATAAATTCCCTCCCTAGCTCCTCTAAGAAAGCTTGGTTTCACTGAAAGTGGTTGATCCAAGAGGTTATGATCCTCTCAGATCTGCTAACACAGCTGCACATGGGCTGTCTTTCAGACCAGGTCAAGTTTTGGTCTTAAATTCAATTAAACAGATAATTACATGTGGTAGGTTGAAGAATCATATGTACGGCCAGGCTGGCTTGCCAGTGTTAGCAAAGAAAAGCCTCTGTCCCCTGGCTTTGGTTCTTCCCTTAAAGTAATTTGGAAATTAGTGGACTTCCCTTCTTGGGTATCAGAAATGCTTCTTAAAGGAAAACGGGCCTATGCCCAGCCTTTGGCTGACCTCTGCTGATGCTCTAGGAAACAGATCTTGCTTTTTTCTTTCCAGGTTTTATGATACCTCCAAGCAAGCAATTGGTGCCCTCTTCATCCACTTTGCCAATATTTTTCTGTCTGATCTCACTGAGGAGGACCCTTGCTCTCTGTAAGTACCAAAGGCACTTCCATTCACATCCCACATCTTGAAAAAGAGGGAGGAAACCAACCGGAGAATGTTTGGTTTCCACCATATATGGCTGGCTATTTAAAGTACTGGATGGATACTAGAGAAGTATGCTTTGCTCAGTGTGGTTGAAGGCCCTTATCCAGTCTGGATAAAAAAGCTCCAAGAAAAAGGATGTTTTTCTTGGAACTTCAGTTTTACCTACCACATGCATTCATGTTGTCCTATTTTGGGGCTATGTAAATTAGGCTTGGAATTTAACAGAAATGTATCTTTACTCCAGACCAGACAATTTGCAGCTACAATTCATTTCAGAACTAGGTAAAGTTGATTTTTGTGTATCCCCTTTGAACTCCAAAATGCTGCTCAAAACTTCCTGGCCTATCTCCTTTATTTATGTTAGAATGCTGCACTTCAGTGTGTTTCTTTAAACAGCCACAAGTTTGGCTGGGACTAAATGTAACCTCTAAAATGATTCATTGCTTTTAAACTGATGTTGTTTGAAAATAACCCCATTTATGCTTATGCTGTGCCCTTCAGTTTCTCCTAACGTGCTTGCCATTTTCCTGGTCTGCCTGCCTTGAATACTGAACTGGGCAGAGCTCTAAAATCATGCCCTTGGGTTCTGCTGCTCCTACGCTGTGCATCCTGCCGAGTATAAACTGCTAGAGTCCCCTGTTTTATTGGGAGTGCTCTGGGAACTCTAAGAAGCTAGTTTGGGAAATCTTAATGCCTTTTCTTTAAGTAGACATCAAAAGCAGATTGTTTTTTTGTTTTGTTTTTGTTTTTTTTTTTTCCCAATATCTTTGTTCAGAAGTAATATCAAGCTAGGGAAAGGAAGCATTTGTTCCTGTGCTTGGTGGTGTTTTCACACTGTAGAAGTATCTGACCTATCGCTGCAGAACAAGATTCCAATAGCACAAAATTGGCCAAAAACATATGAGAGATTTTTCTGTGAGGCTCATTAAAATACTGAGCCCTGGATTAGAGATTGAATTTTGCAATCCCAAGAAGGCTCCTGCAGATCTCCTGTCTCTCGCACACTTTCCAGTGAGGCTTAAACCTCCAAAGTTGCAGAGCAAGTTCATCAGGCCTGAATCTCCTGATGGGGATGGATTTTGCTGCTGGACCTGCAGCAGAAACCCCAAACTGGAGGCTTTCCAGAACCCCAGAGTGTCTGCTGTTGAGCCAGGGATTGTTACCTCTCCTAAATTCTTCTGCCTCTTGCTTTGCTTCCCTGCTCATATAGCATTTTACACCTGCTCTACGGAAGTGAGTTTTAGCCTTTCCTGTGGAGCATTTATGTTGTCCAACAAGTTTCAGTTTTCTGGTATAGAATTCTGAAAGTGTTTAGAATCATAAACATTGGAAAGACCACTGAAATCATTTAATCCAACTGCCAACCTATCACCTCCATACCTACTAAACCATATCTCTCAGTACCATATCTACTCTTTTGTTGAACACCTCTAGGGATGGTGACTCCACTGCCTCCCTGGGCAGCCTGTGCCAATACCTCATCACTCTGAGAGTAAACTTTTCCTAATATCCAACTTGAGTCTCCACTGGTGTAATTTAAGGCCACTGTACCTGTGTAGTTATGCTTCTATGAAACTTTGGTTTTAATTTAAGAACAAAAGGTGTTGTAAATGGAACCCTCTCTTTTTTAGGGAGTAAACCCTAAGCTACAGTAACTCAAGTAGTATTTAATGCTGTGTGAATAAATGAGTGGTGCCAGGGAGATGGTGGAGCCTCCTTCCACTGCTGATCAGGCTCTTAAGCTGGTAAGGCTATTGGTAAATTCAGTAACATTGGCAAGGAAGGAAAGCTTGGACCACTAAGTAAGGATCTGAAAATCATAGTTTTTGATAGATTTCCATATTTTGAAGATACATAGTGAAGCTTGTGTCATATAGACTTGAACACATACAACTTGAATTTGCATTTGGAAGCCTCACAAAGAGACCTTTTCCTCTGTTCCTAGCTACCTTATTAATTTCATCCTCGATGCCACGCTGGGGATGCTGCTGATTTGGCTTGGTGTGAAGGTGGTCTCCTGGGCTGTGCAGCGTCAGAAGTACACATATCTTGTCTTTGGAGAATATGGTATGTGTCTACAGCTCTGCACAAAGGTGACTTCTTTTTTCTCTTCTGTGAAAGAAGAAAATGGCTGGCTAAGGGGAAAAACATGGACTTCTATTCTATTACACATGAACTTCTACTTCTGTTATCTGTCAATAATCAGCACTACTGAATCATTAAGGCTGGGGCAGGAAAGAAACACTAAGATCATCTAGTCCAATCGTCAACCCATCCCTGCCATGCCCTTAGTGCCACATCTGCCCTTCTCCTGAACACCCCCAGGGGTGGTGATTCCACCACATCCCCAGGCAACCTGTTCTAATGCCTCACCACTCTTCCCGAAAAGAAATGTTTCCTGTTATCCAACCTGAACCTCCCCTGAATGTTGTGTTATATTTTGGGGGCATCACTACGTTGTGGTAACTGCTGTTGTGTTAGTCATGCTTGGGCACAGAAGATTGGTGATAAAAGGTTGAACATGCCTGAGGTATATGATCCCACGATGATGATATGACAAATTATGGGTTTGGATGCCATAGTGGTTTTCTGTAGGGCTCTGTTGTGGGGGTTTTGTTATTGACTTCCTCCAGCCTCTTCTTGAAATGTGCAGTTCTTTCAGCTGTCTCGAGCTGTGGTAGGCATCGACAGACCAACAAAACTGGGTTATCAAATGACATGTTTTCCCCAAATTACGTTTTAAAACGTAATTTTTTCATTTAAAAAAAAAAAAAAACAACCTCTTAAAAGTGCTCATAAGCTTGTCAGCCTCTGCTTTGGTTCCTGTTTCAAGAAAAGCCTTTCTCCAAAAGTCCCACTAGAGGGTAGCACTTCTCTTCAGAAGGAGGAGAGCAGTGCTTCTCCACTTCTCTGCAGTGAAGGCAGGAGTTAACCCATTAGGCTATTTTGTGTTAGTCTTTTTATTTAGGAAGTACACATTCACACGAATAACTTTAAGTCTTTATGTCATTAAGTCTATTCTAAGGGTAGTGACGTTCCTCTGTATTCTTTGAAGCTGGTGAAACTTAGACTAAAGTGGAATTAGTGTGGAGACAACACTGAATTCTGAGTTTTAGCTGAGACTTCTTTGGTGCATAAGAGAGGGAGTGCTACACCTACCTGAATAGGTTTCAGCACAAGGTGGAGGGGGTGGTTGGGTTTGTGAGGTGACTTGTGGCTAAACCTGAGAGTAGTTTTAAAGGCTGCAGTGTTCTAAAGTCATTCAAATGAGGCAGCAGAGGAATAAATATTCCTGGTTCAGGCATTGGTGCATTTTCACTTTATGAGCAGTGAGTACTCAAAGCCCAACTGCAGTCATCCCAGAGCACTGCTACACATGCCACGTCTGCAGCTGAATGGAAGCAAGAAAATGTTAATGCATATTGACAGCTTTAGCCTTGCAGAGCAGTAATGAACTTCTTGAGCTGGAGTTTCTGTAGACTAAGCCAACCTTTGAGGAGGGAAACGACTTGCTTCTCCAAGGAAATCTGGATTTTGTTAACAAAAATGTTTCTGCTGCTGTTTGAATTTAGTTTTTGAACTGGTGATTAAGTCTCATCCACCCAGCACCATTCTTGGCCAGAACCACTGTGATGGAAAAGTCAAATGGTAGTCAAATGGCACGTCAAATGAAATCTTGCTGCAGAGCTAAGAACTCTATCCTCATCTCTGCTGTTAAGTAACCTCCAGAGTGATTTGGAAGATGCTGGCAAACTCTCCACAGTTTAATACAAGCTTCAGATTCAGTTTCTGGACTGATTGATGTACCAGACTTGCATTGTTTTCTTCAGTTATCCTGAAGAGGAAAAGTTTCTCCTGATGTTCTGCAGAGGAAGGTGGGCAGTATACCACATAAACACCAAATCCATGATGCAGACAGAACCTACGCTGTTCTCTCAGGCAACCAGCTGTCCAGAACTGACTGTTTAAAATAGATTATTCTCATATTTCCAAAAAAAAGTGGGAGACACCCATTCTGAGATCAGTCTCTTGTGTCTTAGCCAGAGGCTGCTGAGGCCAGAAATGACCTGTTTTTAGCTAGTGGAGAGTCAAAAGTTCCTATACCTTTATGTTCCTCCATCTTTGCCCAGAAGCTCTTTGGATTGTCTTTAAGCATAGGAAGGTAAATTTGGAAAGGCTGCTGGCTCTTCTGGAGGTGCTTGGCTCCTGAGAATGAAGACTAGCAAAGTTCACTCTTCATGCTGGTTCAAGTAGGTTTTGAAAAATGGTGGTTGATAAACTTCAGCCTCCAAACTACAAGTCCTTCAGCCTCTTCCCAGTTCTTGTGGCTACAAGAGGCTTGCTGGGGGGAAACCTGTTGATGGCTGCAGCATCCCTGCACTGTGTGTGTACCAATTCAAATATTGAAGTACTTCTAAAATAATACTTTAAGGAAACAAACTCTGTCAACTCATATTGAGGCATTTTTGCAGTGAGTGAGTCAAATGCTGAAGAGCAGCATCATGAAATGGTGAGAAGAAGTGGATATCTTGGCTTGAAAAGTTATTCAGGGAGGCAGGCTTATATAGGAGCATGGCTGTGGTCGCTAACTGTTCTGTTTGATGCCCTGTGTTCATTTGCTGTCCAGAAATGGAAAGGCGCTTTGCTTGGAGCCCTCTGAAGTCTGTTTAATGGTCTGTTGAACTCCACTGGTCAAACTCAGTTACAGCAGAATGTGCTTTGTGCCAGCTGCTGAGTTTAACTGAGGACCTGTGTAGGCTGCTTTTGGCCCTGCTGCGATGGCCTACAAAATTTCCATAGTAAATATTCCCATGAACCGAAGCAGCCAAGGGAGCTGGCTGCTAATGACTGAGGAAATACTGCTGAAAATAGCTCTAATCTAGGGGACTGTTTTGTCCTTAGCATGCAATTCAGATGCTTTACCAATATTTCTTGCTTTCTGTACATAGCATCGAGAATTACACAAATGCTTTTGTCCTGGAGGTACAATTTAAATATTCTTCACTGAGTTCCTATCGACTTTCCCCATCCCCACCATCTAACCCAATACAACTTTCAGTATTTTCAAACGCTCACTTTTCCTCAGCCTCCCTGAACTCTCTGCCCTGGCTATGGTTAAATATTTTCCCACCTGCTCAGTACATGTATAGTCCCTGGAAGCCTACAAATAAAGCTGTCTGGCACTAACACGTGGACCTTGACAGCTTGGTACATTAGACAGCTTGGATTAAAATTAATCCTGTTGTATGGTAACAAGTCAAATACCTCAAGGAGTGCTGCTTTTGCTCTGTAAGCAGTTGGGCTCCCACTCACAAGCAGAACACGAGCTGTGTCTGTGAGGTTGCTGCAGGCACTGGGGATCCTAGGTCTGTTTTAAAGGGGTGATGCTAATGGTGGGATAGGGTGCTGGAGGAAAATGGTCAAAATGCAAAGCGTGCATCCTTTTCACTAGGACTTGCAGGGCAAAGATTTGTCCTTGGTGCAGGGAGCCACTCAGAGGGAGCATGATGTGGCTTTCTGTAGCATATCTGCAGAGATCTTTTGTGCCTGTTCTGTTCCTTACATAGAAAGGGAAGTTTTGCTTGCAGCAGAGGGAGGGCATTGAATTGGTTTCTGCCTCCAAGGAGCAAACTAGGTTTTGTTGATTGGCTATCCTGTATGGCAGAAACAGCTTTGGAGGCACTTACCCAAATTTGCTAGTGGAAACACCTGATACAAAATCATTGTGGTCTTTCCAACCATAATGAATCTAAGATCATCTAGTCCAGCTATCAACCCATCACCACCATATCAGGAGAATCTCTCAGATCCATGGACTGAGGGATTTCTGGGCAGTGCTTAGCTCACTGAAGACATTAAGTGGCATCTAAGGATACTCCTGGCCTGACTTTCTCCATCCCCGCCATCTAACCCAATGCTGGCTGTAGGAAGCCAGCATCTAAATAAGCACCCTTCTGTCACTGGGATACCTGGATGCTGGAGAATAACTGCGCAGACACCCTGTGATCTTTCTGCTAGGTAATGGCAGTAAAGGCATGTAATTCTGTGGTTTGGGATGCATTCCTGTACAGAAACATCCCATGTTCTGAAAACAAAGCTTGGAGTCTTAAGAGGAGAACAAGGTTCCAAGACAGTAGCAGCTTGAGGCTGCTGAAGGTGATAGAGCTGATGGCTACATCTGACCCATAGGTCTGCAGGTCTCTTTGCAAATCCTTCTGTTGTTTAATCTGGGCTATTAGAAGCTCTTACTGCAGAAGAGATATGCAGCTGCTGCTTTAGGTGATGCAGGAAGGATCAGAGTGAGAAGCTGGATATTTGATGCTCCAGAGGTGGAGGCATCTCTGACAAGGTGAGGTTTGGTGGGTAGTAAGGAAAAAGAAGGGTTTCTTTAAGACTGAGAGTGAGGGAGGAATGATTTAGGTGAGGAAAGCATTAAAGATAAGGGTGAATCTGCCCCATGCTGGATTAGGCAGCAGATTGTTTCTCTTACTGTGTGCATCTCAGCCATGTTAGCCAAAGCTTATCTGAATGATGAAGGGTTAGGGCTGTTAGGTGCACAGTATGCAGAAGTAAGATCTATAGCTGCTTGTGATAATGAATGGTAGTGACCTACTGCCAAAAGGGTGTGAGGGAGCAGGCATGTTGGAGGTATCTCCAGCTTGCTGATGCTTTTGGAGAGGGCTGAAACATCGGAGAGAAATATGCTGCAGGTGTCACTGCTACCACTGTGGGACAGCTGACTTGCAAAGCTGTGCTGTCAGCCCCTGTTTCCCCATGGGGGATTGACCACAACAGCTGATGACACAGAGCAAAAGGCAAAGAGTTCAGGAGGGAGACCATGGGTATGTTTGTTTTCCTGTTGTGTCTGTGTGTGCTCTGATAGATGATGGTAGCCTAAGGGCTTATGAAAGGATTGGTTGGTCTGGGGATGTCAGGCAAAAAGCCCCACTAGGCTCAGCCAGTGCTGAAGAAGAGTAGATACCAGAACTTATCAGGAGAGGCTCCAGGAGCAGTAAAACCTCTTTGACCCCAGCCTTTAACTGCAGACTGCCAACGATGCTGCACAGACCACCCATCCAGCTGCTGCCTGCCAGGAAGTGCAGATGTGTGCTTTCCAAAATCCTCAGTGCTGGTTGCGTTTGCATGTAACCTTCCCAGCTCCTTCTCCATGTAGTTCCTGCTGGTCTGGCTCTCAGCATCTTGAAACCACAGCTTCCACTTCCTTCTCTCCCCTCTTCAGCTGTGGCTCGGGCAGTTACAAAGCTGGAATGCAAGGTGATCACATGGAGCTCTCTGGCATAGAGAGACAAGCTGGATGCCTCTGTTCTTAGCAGTGGCTTTGCAAATATTTTGGTACATTGCTAACAAATAACAGGAAGGACGAATATGCACGCAGACCTGTTTTTGCACTCCCTGCTAAGCAGATTCTCCCAGCGCTGGACTTGGTCAGATAGCAGCTCTTAGTAAATCCTGGCCCGTGCTGCTGGTTTCTGTGACCAAAGGTATGCATGATGATTTGGATCAATGTTTGCAAACTACTTGTGTGGGCTTCCCTTGCTGTGTCTCAGCAGCACCGTGCAGAGAAAAGCTGGGCAGAGCTCCCTGTCTGTTGCCATCCAAAAGCAGCTTGAACATCTTGCACAAATGCAATTCCAAGTTCTGGCCCAATTCCTCTGGAAGTAAAGTCTGCCAGCGATTATCTTTATCTTTGGATGGTAAGAGGAAGTGCTGCATTTTTTCCTAAGCCAGATACAGCAGCTCAGTTTTGCAGGCCCAAGGTATTCTGATGACCTGGGAAAATGATAACTTGCCAGGAGGGTACTTTCAGATGGCTGAAGGAAGCATATGTAATAGATACAGTGCAATTATCAGTGCTAGCAATACAAATATGCTTTTTTATTATTACTTGGTAAGTACTTCATTGGAAGCATTCATATTTAATTAGCATTGATTTTTATTTTTTTTTTTTTAGTGGGTTGCTGTAAAACCTAGGGGGATGGAGACACTGTCTCTTGCTCAGTGTCACATAACCATTTGTTCACTCAATCAGCAAATGCATAATCTAGTTGAGGACTGAAAGCTTTTGTCTTACATTGAAATCAGTGACCAGAAACTTTTGGAAATTAGGCAGGTAAGATTTGGCAGGGGAGTAGCTTGGTGGTGTAGAAAAGGATCTGTTGTGCAGTGCTTTGTTTTGGGGGTTGGGAGTGGATTTTAATTCAGGAAAGATTATCAGTCTGAAACTCTGGTCCATATGGAACAGGTTTTTTGTGAAGTGTTCCTATGAGCTTATTATTCCATAGAAAGTAATGGGGAGGAAAAAATGGTGATGGGGTGAAACTTTTCTTTATAGAATACTCTAGGTTTGCTAAGATGAAGAGAAATGAAGTCTGTGGTACCTTGGCAAGAGGGGCAAACCAGGCTACTAATGTTCCAAAAGCAATGCTTGCTTGTAAGGAGCCATTTGAAAGCTCAGGATTCTCAGCAGCTTAGAATTCTAGAATCACTAAGGTTGAAAAAGACTGCTAAGATTATCTAGTCCAAGTGTCAGCCCATCACCACCGTGCCCACTAAACAGAGTCCATACACACAAGCTTACTCTCTATATGAAGGTATACAGTGATCTGTGCTTTCAGATGGGGTACTGGCCACTTTGTACAAACAGGGTTTCTTCCCCTTATCCTTGTATTTATTTAGCTCAAAACAGCTCAGTACCATAGGCTGGATACCTGCAATGCCTGTTGGTAGCTGAAAGAGGAGGAAAAGATGCATCCGTAAGGCTCTGTACATTCAGGGCTCTCCCCAAGAGGAGGCGAATGTTTCCCAAACCAAGATCCATCTGTTTAGCTAATCTCCTTGAAGTTACTGGGAGTGTTTCTTTCAGCTTTCAGTGGTTCTTGAGTATATGAGGGCTGCTGGATAAGCATGGGCAGAGCCTGGGCTGTCTCTCTCCCCATATGCATAAGGTGAACGTGAGCATTGTAGGACACATGTCAAGCCTGAGGTCATTTACCTGCAAGGCTGTCTTGTCCTGTGTCTATGAACTGTGCTCTTCTTCCAGGTGACCCTCCACAAGCTGCTGCTTGGATTGGCCAGTGTATCCTCTACCTGCTGATTATGGCTGTGGAGAAGACCCTGATTAGCCTTGTCCTGCTGATCCCTGGTTGGACAAAGGTAGGCTCCTAAGCTGTTTTTTATTTTCCTAGCTACAGCTGTTGTGTTTTTTTTCTTGTCATTTTTGCCCTGTTAATGGTCCACATCATCGTAGGTCTTTAATCCTTTTGAGTTGTTGACAGCTCTCTGTGATAATTAGCTATTACTGAAGTTTGAGGAAACATGACTTTCGTAACAGCTTGGCTTGTGATATGTTCTCCTGCTTGTCAAGAACTAGTGGAATATGATTTTTCTTCAGTTTTCTGCTCTCAGAAGAATAAAATGGGCTGGGCTGATTGGTGGCTGAGCTACTTCAGTTCTGCCAGGGGGTTTCCACATTATCTTGTCAAGTCAATACACTTGTGGTCTTGTGCCTAAACTAGGGAAACTGTTAGATTGTTCCAAATTGACCCCTATAGAGAACTGCCCCACCCTTCTCCTTATGCTTTTGTATGGTAACTGGGGGGACATTAGTTTGTTGGGATTGTTTTAATTAAAATACATACATTCTTTTGGGAATTGTAGCCATTTTTATGGAGGAAGGTAGGCATTGTGGGTAATTCACTGGTACAAAAGCTATTTAAGGAATTAAGGGGCCATCCCGGTACTGAGTGCATTTGCACTTGGTGCCTTGTACCCAAAAGGGCTGATGTGACCTAATTGCAGTGTTACTTGCAGCAGTCTGGGAGCGTTTATCTGTTCCTGGTTAGAGCTTCTCTTTCAAATGTAGCAACCTACAGTGCTCTGACTTGGCTGTGAGTATTGATCTGGCTCATGGCTGTGCAAATACGTTGGCTGTATTTTGCAGATAGGCTCAAGAAGCCAAGAACAGTCCTACCAGCTGTTGTTGCAGGTAGTTAAAGTCTATCTTCACTCATTTTATTGCTGAAAACAAAACACTTGGCAGCTGGGCTAAAGAAATAGCCTAAGCCATCTCAAAGAGCTCTGCTAAAGCAAGGTATGCAGGGCCATAGATAGGACATAGCTTAAGAATGCATCCTGTTTGCAGCAAACAGCTATTTGAGTAATGCTTCTAAATGCTTTTTCTTCTCTGCAGCTTCAGCAGATCCTCCTGAGTTACATCCCAAACCCCCAGTTGGAGCTCATCCTGGTCATGCTAGTTGTGCCTTTTATTGTAAATGTAAGTGATGCCATGGCAAGTACAAAATGGGGTGGTTTGGAAATGGGCCCTTTCCAATGGGAAGAATGTACAGGACATGGCTTGGCAGCCTTGAGTAATCAAAGTGGATGGAAGGTTAAGGGGAGTGGAAGCAAAGATCTTTGCTACAAGCACAAATCTGTATCTGCTGCCTACCAAGGGCTCTGCTCCTAACCCCCACTCCCTTGTCCAAGCTGCTGTATGGCTGATTGTTTACTTTTTCGAGGACAGTTTAAACACATCAGCTGGGAGCTGTGTCTAAACAGCAATGTGGAAGGAACAAAGGTGCTCCAAAGCCTGTTGAAGTTCTTATAGGAATGGCTTTTCAGTGGGAACTTGCTGTGCTTTCAATTGCGAATAAAAGTGGAGAAAGGGTGTATGAGAAGAGAGGTGTGAAAGACAAGATAATTCAGTGGACTTTCAGGGCAAATAAGTCCTCTTACTGTGATCCATCACAAGAAAGCTGTCCTTGATCAAGGAAGCTTTTTTTTTTTTTTTTAAGTGTACTGTAGCTGAGGAACGAAAAAACAACTTTGTATCCTGTGTATATGCCAAGTAAAGAGTCCCTACAGACAGCACAAAGCTGCAAATGTCTCAAACGTCTTATTTGTACTCCAACCTTGAAGAGAAAAAAACAATGCTATTTCTTGCTTATATTCACCAAGGCTACAGAGTGGCCAAAAAAGCATGCTTTCAGCAGAAATACAGGCTAGTTTCCCATTAGAGTCATGATCTGGTTGTCCCAGGAGTATGTAAGGCCCGTTGAAGTGCATGGCAGATCTCTCTGCAAGTGTAGTGACATGTATTTGGTACGAGGGCACTGGTTTGACAATGTGCTGTGCTTTTTTTTTGTTTGTTTGTTTTGCAGTGTAACATGGGTAGAAAGCACTGTTAAAACAAGAGGCTTGGGTCCTTTTGACAGGTGTTGGGGTATTGTCAGCAGTAGACCTTCTGCCAGACATGGTCTTTGTCCATCTGCATCATTTAAAGCTGTGATGTCACTGAGACTTAAATTTGCAAGCAGTCGTGGGAACATGAACAGAAGTGCTAAAGCTCTTGCAATGGATGCAGTGATGGGGGCTGAGGAGCAGCAGTTCTAAGTTAAAGATACTATAAAGTAACTTATTCTGTATCAGCCATCTGTCTAGATCAGTTCGGACTGCCCAAAACTACTGATATTCAAACTCATATTGCAAACTTAGTTTAGCAAAAGCTGTTTTCTGGTTTTCTGGATTCTATGCAGTGTTTTACTAACAGATCAATTACTACCCTGATATGGCAAGTGAGAAAAAGATCTTAGCATTGAGATCTCACTGAAAAAGGGGTGAACTTTTATACTTACAATGGATGGAGTGTTGGCAAGGATGGGTTTACCTGCCTGTGCTATTCCAACCTCTCTTCCCAACCTCACCCCATGGTGCACTTGCTTGAAACTCTGGTTCTTAAAGTGGCTGATGCAGGCAGAACAAGTGAATGAATATGGGATGCCGTTGGCTCAGTGATTCATTCTGGAAGAAACTTGGTCTGTTGTGATCTGTTTTCACTTGGTCTCCAGTGAAAAGGGAATCCTCAGAACTTGTGAGGGAGGGACCTTAGCAACTTGTCTCATCCACCCTAACAGATACACTTAACACAGGATTAATTTGGATATTGGGCTGCTGGAAGATGGAGGTTTGGAAGATCCAAAAAGTGAAGAAAGAAGTAGCTCAGCTTGCATGACTTTATATTTTGGTCTCTGCAGTCTATTCATGAAACTCCTTTCTCCCCAAGGCCGTTATGTTCTGGGTTGTGGACAGCTTGATCATGAGGAAACACAAGCAGAAGGATATGTTGAACATCAATGGATCCACAGAGACCCCACAAGCTAGGAGGAGTGAGGAATCTCGGGTAAGACCAAAGATGTTCTAAGTCAAAGACCAAATTGTGCACTTGGGTATGGCTTTTGTTTTACCAGAACTATGCAGTGTGCCATCATGTTGCACCTGGACTGATGTTTGATGAATATGGGGGTGACCTTGGAAGTCCAAATAACTTCTGATGCTTATAGCTGAGGTCACAGAGGTTCCCTGGGAGGATTTGATGTAGTATCACAATCTATAAAGTAGCGCTGAAATACTGCTCTCTGGGATGATGGCATCTTGAGGAGGGGGGATCACAAGAGTGGCAGGCTGAAGCTGGTGGGCAGATCTGCCTTAGTACTATCAACTTTGCTATTAGTAATTCTAGTTGATCTTGGCTCAAATCTTGCTTTCCTGGCTGCAATTAGTCTCCTTTTTTGGGGGGCGTGGGTGGGGGGCGGAGGGGAAGCACAAGGCCCAGCTAGGAATCCTGGTTTTTTGTCAGTATTTTGAACTATTCAATCTAATAATGGTCTTGTAGCTGCAGAATGCTGTGTTTTGCATCATCTGAGCCTGACTACTGAAGTTAAGGAGACTGGGGTGGGTGGGAGTGGAATGCTCCAGTATCAGCAGGCTTTGTTCCTGTAGTTAATGACACGTGGACTGCCAGGCAGGTACTGCCTGAGTTTCCCATCAGATTTCTTGCAGAAGCCACAACCTGATTCACTGGATCGAATTCCCTTCCTTCCCCTTGGCTCCCAGCCCTTGTTTGAATGCTGAGTGCCTGACTCCAGGTATCAGGAGACACTGTGATTGTATCCTGCAGCTCACTGGCAAGAGTTAAGGTTAAATCACTTCTGGCAGTCATAGGCTGGCTCCTGGAATAGCTGAGGGATTTAGGACAGACAGAAATAACACTGAGAAAGCAAGAGGTATTTTACAGAGTAACTCTGTTCTTGTAACTGGCCATCATGCTCATTAGTACTATCAATACTGCACTGTATGCATAGGTAGTGGTGTTCAGAGGTGTTCTTGATGGCTTGAAGGTTCAGGGGGCAGGAAGGGCAGGCAGATGCAAGCAAGGGAGACAAATGAATCATTCTTCTTGGCCCAACATCCAGATAAACAGCTGTGGCTTGGCTAGGTTACTGAGAACATGTGAGCAATATTTCCCAGGGAGTTTCCTGAGCTGTGGGGCATCCTGAAGAAATCTGTATTGATCTGGAGAGGGAAGAGGAGCTGAGCAGTACCAAGATGTCTTAATAGTTGTACACTGAAGCTAAGGGCTGCTGCCTAGGACATAAAGCTGAACTAACTCTAGATAGACACTGTGCCCTGGTTATAGCACAGTCCTGGTTGCTTGATGTGTTCTACAGTGGTGCTTCCTGGGCAGGCCTCCAATCTAGCTCCACTCAAAATGTAAAACTGATGGTGAATATCTGCTTTACTGATTAGATGTGCTGGAGTGTTCCTGAGGTTTAAATTCAGCTAATATTATGCTGCCTCCTTGCTCTTGTTTTGACTAGACAGCAACTCAGATGCTACAAGCTCTTTTCCAACCTGTTGCAACCTAAGCTTGGGTCACTTTACCTCACAGATGTTATCATAAGCTTCAGGCTGGTGTAGACACACAGATGGTGTTGAAGTTACTGGATCTCCATAAAAATGGAGCTGTCTCCTCCCTCACTCCATTGGAGGGGACAAGTGTTCTATGCCCTCTAGCTCAGTTTTTGGATAACCTAAAAAGAAGATACCTGTTAATCTCTGCAAGCTGGAAAGCTTCTTCTGATAGCTTCACCTAGGTAGGGCGCTTCATGTGGTGGATATGGACTTCTGCAGGCTGAATCTTTCTGTCAGTGTCCTTTTCATATCCACCAAGTATTTGGCTCCTTTTCTCATGAGAACTTGCTCTGAAATCTTCTGTGTGCAGTCTGTCTGTCCACCTTGAAACTGTCTGATCCATCACCACAGTTTAGGTACTAAGGTGATAGGTTTGTACCTGGAACTGTCTGTAGAGACTGCTCAGATAAGCTCCTGTGTCTCCAGCACTATACAAATAATTTGGGTAGGGAAGGATGTTAATTAAAAGGAGAGTCAGACATGAGTGATCTTTTTTTCCCAATTCTGCTTCTTGGCATCGGGCCTTGAAGTAGACTCCTGCTTTGTCACTTTTTAATTTTATGCTATTAAATACAGTGTTGGATGGTTGAGTGCTGCAGCTGGGTCAGCTGGGATTTAGGCTCAAAATCAGAAAATGAGGGTTTTTAGGGCTTGTTTTGGTTAAGCTTTCTCCATGTGAACAGGTTATTCTTCCCTCCCTGCTGCCTACCTAGACAGGAGGAGAGAGAGAGCTGAGAAGCATCTCTGTACAGGGCAGGGCTGGCTGGGGCTAATGTGTCCTGTGGTTTATCACGGTTCATCAGCACTGTCTAGCAGCAGGCGCCAACAGCTCCCCATCATGCTGCCTTCTTGAATTTCACCCCTCTGCCTATCTCACCAGTAGTGTCGTTATTTTCACTTGAACTTGCAGTTTCCCTGGAAAAGAAGGGGGAGGAAGGAAAGGAGTGGTCTGAAGTTAACCTGCTAAAAAACTATACTCAGCACTTACTATAGGGATAGCAGCAATAACAACAGGTTGGATATTAGGCAAAACTTACTTTCAGAGTAGTAGTGCATTGGAACAGGCTGCCCAGCAAGGTGGAGGAGTCACTGTCCCTGGAGGTGTTCAAGAAGAGAGTAGATCAGGCACTGAGGGACGTGATTTAGCAGGCATGGTGGGGGTGGGTTGATGGTTGGACTAGATGAGCTTAGTTATCTTTTCCACCCTTAATGATTCTATGAGATGTTGGTTTTGTCCTTGGCAGTTCAGATGAGCAATAAAAGGGAACCTAGCTTTTCTGCCACTGATGTTGTTTGCTGACTCCACAGCTGTAATGCAAACTAAATAAATGTCCATCTCCTGGGTTTCAAAGCTCTTCTGTGAGCCATTGATGTGCCACTGGGCCCTTGTTTATAATGAAACTGCTGTGATGCTTAGGAATAGGACAAGGAGTGATGGCTTGAAATTTGAACGTAGGATGTTCCATGTTAAGGTGCAGAAGAACTTCTTCATAGTAAGGGTGATGGAGCACTGGCTCAGGCTGCCCAGAGAGGTTGTGGAGTCTCCTTCTATGGAGATACTCAAGGTCTGGATGCCTACCTTTGAGACCTATTGTAGGGAACCTGCTTTGGCAGGAGAGTTAAATTCAATCTCTTGAGGTCCTTTCCAACCCCTGCAGTTCTGCGATTTATTTTCTTTTTCATATTGAAACTCTGCTTTTCAGTTTTAGCGCAGAAGAATTTCACTCTTGCTTCCAAGTCAGCCTTAAATCTTCCCTCTGTCACACGTGTCCTACCTTGGTAAATGTTCAGTCCATTTCTGCCTTTGTGTGGGATGGATAGGGAACTTCAGAGTGTCTGTCTGAATCTGGTGCTATTCAGGGTAGGGAAGTGCATTCATCTGCTTGGCCCTGATTTCTGCTTTGCTTGTGTCCTGCCCTTGACCTGTGTCTCTTTTCCCTTGTTCTTGTAAGCGTTGATAAACTTCAGATCTTATCAGTGGTTTCTTTGTTTTCATCACTTAGGAAAACAAGTCAGTTTTAATAATGTTGTATTTGATCTTTTTGGACTTGTTTTAGTTTTTTCCTCAGGGAATAAGTGAGCTTCTACTTCTTCTTTTCTCCTCTCTTTGAAGGCTTGCACTTTCAGAAGCAAATTACAGCAACGTTTGGTCTAATAACAGTGGTACTTCTCAAAGTATTTGCAGAGAAACTGGAGGTTAGTTTAAGGTTGAGAGGAAAGCTAACGTACTACACGGACCTGCCTTTGGTTCTCACGGAGTTCAGCACCAATTCTAATCCCTTCCATAGGGATTATAACTTCTGGCAATTTTGCTAGATTGAAGGCGATGGTGAATGGTGATACCTCTACTGCTTGCTTTAAGAGTTGAAGAGCACTCCAAGAGCAAGTTTGACTTGCGAATTGGTTAGCTGAGCTGATCTTTTTTAATAGCTCAAGGTGAAATGGAGTGCCTGCTCATTAGGGGAAAGTTGAATGAAGATAGGTATGGTCTCTGGTAGGAGACTGTCCCACCTGTCAGTCCTACTGAGGTATGGGAACTCACCTGAACTCAGGTGTGGGAGGAAGGTAGGATGGTTCCTGTCTCTACATGTAACTGGTAGTTTCAGACAAAATTCCATGTCTTGCATGGAAATAGCCCTTGAGCTTCTCTGTTTTCAACTCATTCTTCCTGGTGTGGGGAGGAATGTGTGAAGTATTTAGGGACTGAGTGGAACAGCAGCACATTGTCCTGAGACTGGGAAGCTACGGTCCATTTCCAGCTGTACCACTGATCTGTTGTGATTTTGACCTGGAAACATCTGTAGAGGAAGTGCCTTGACCAAGCTATGCTGAAACATCCCAAACAATTCTGTCTGGGCAAAAAAAAAGAGGGCCTGTACCATGGCTCTCATAGCAGTAAGGTGCTTTCTCATGATGAAGCTCACCATGGAGCTATGGAAGGGTTACTGGAGGACTGTTGGCTTGAGTGGCTTTGTATGAGCTCTAGAGCAGGCAGATAGCAGCCCAAAGGGGTCTGGATGCACAGCCCTTTCTATGTCAGCCATGGCTGGCTGTGAGAAGGTCTGAGTTTACAGCATGAAACCCACCTAAATAATTGGTTCATTAGACTCCAAAGATGACCTGGTGCAGCCTGTCAGAGTTCAGTGATTTTTTTTTTTATATAGTGCCATGTGTAATTAATCACCCATTTTTTTTCAGGTCCTCCAGCATCATAATATTTATATGCCAAACAGGAAATCTTCACTTGGAAGAGATGGAAACTTTCCTGTGATGTCTAGAACAAAAAAAGGAATGGGGTTGTGTAGGTTAACTTAAGGGGATGGAGGGGAATGAGATCTTAATCTGATCTATTGCTATCCTTTGAGTATCTGATGTGCTGCTGTGAGGATAACAAAATCAGATGGAGTGTGTGTGAGAGTGGGGAGAATGTCTTGTTCTGTGGCTGTTCGGCTTCTTTGAAGTCATTGACTCATTGCAGTTTGTTTTTCCTGTTTAGTTGCTTTGTTGCTGTGGTGACTGGCTTGGTGATGCTGTCTTAAATAAACAAGTGGAGGATATGCTCATTCACAACTGTGTCTGGAGATGGCTGTGAATAAGGCTGTACTCCTGCTCTGGTTGTGGTGTTTTCACCAAGGAATGCTGGGCTCTGGGTCTAGTTGAGCTGATGGTGGGCCTCTTGGGCTGAAAGCTTATCAGCTGTTCTGTAACTGGTGTCTTGGAGGTGGAAGGGTTTTGTGGGATGGACACAAGGCTTCACAGTTCAGTGGTTCCACTTGCATCACAAATTGATGAGGCACTGGAACAGGCTGCCCAGGGAGGTGGTGGAGTCACCATCTCTGGAGGTGTTGGGGGGAAAAAAAAGGTAGGTATGGTACTGAGGTTTTAATGGACATGGTAGGGATGGGTTGATGACTGGACTAGATGATCTTAGTTGCTTTTCCAGCCTTTACGGTTCTGTGAATTTAGGGTCAGATGGAGCTGAGACTTGAGACTTGAGTGGGAAGTCTTAGCTGGGTGAAGCTGCTGCTTTTCTTTTTCATTTGGCATAGGGGAGAGTGCTTATTGGCTCTTTTTCCCCTTATTGGCCATAAACTAATGATGCTGACTGGGTGTTGTGAGGCAAATGGAGGAGAGGGGAGTGACTTCTGACATCAGTCATCTAGAGAAAAAGAACTGAAAGCCCTCAGCTGTGCTGCTAAACTTGTGCCCATCTATAGCATAGAGTTAGACCCTGAGTGTCAAAGACTTGGTCGTGCTACTGATGCGGGGGATCACTGCTGACCAGAAACCCTTGGCTCCTAGCTGGTGCTGGAGTGACTGCACATCATCTGTGCTTAGATCTTGCTACTGCTGGGGCTAAAGACAGTAGGGCTGCTTTTGCTCAAAGCTGAGCTTTAAAGGAGTCAGATGGGGTTGAACAAACAATCTGTCAAGCTGTAAATAGAATCATAGAATACTACCCATGCAAACAGTTTGTCAGTCCAGCCTGCTGGCTGGCATTAGGTTGCAGCTCTTCTGCGGGGCTGTGCAGCCATAGCCTGAGTAAAATTTAGCCTTTTTCCTCTTCCAGATGATATGGCTGGAGGATGTCCCATCAGGATGGTTCTGTCTGCATCGAGCGAATGCTCCGGGCCGGTGGCAGCCACTTAGCTCAGAACTGCCTCTTGATAGCTTCAAGTCTGAGGTTAGCAGCTGAAAGCATAGGTGTTCTGGAGGCAACGGGCAGCCTTGTGGTTGTGCAGCAAAGTGTTCTTATCAAGGGAGCTACTGGTGGGAGGTGTTGATGCTCTGTTCTGGCTTCTACAGTTCAGCTCTGCTGGGTAGAAATAAGAAGGTGCCAGGCTAGCTCAGCAATTCTGAGCCTGCTGACTGTGGCTAAAGCAACCCTGAGCTGCTTGTTTCCCTGTCTGAGCTTTAGAGATCACAAGCAGCTGGGGGCCTGGGAAAATGTCTCTTTGTTACAGCTGTTTGCAAATTGTGGCCTAGTTTTTGTGCATCTCCTCAGAGGCTGCAGCCTGGCCTTAATGTGAATGTTTGCGAATCCTGTCCCCTGGTGAACAGAGCTTTCAGCTGCCTGTTCCACTCCCAAGAGGGCTTGCGGGTACCAGAGCATCTGTGTTTGGATCCATATGTTCCTGGCTGTCTTCGGAATGGTCAAGGTGACCTTAAGACCTCCCTGCTCTGCAAAATCTAACCCCATTGGCAGTAGATCCTTTTATGTGCTTGACCCCTCTAGCAGTCCCTTGCTAGGGGATAGTGCCTGTGGTATTAAGATGAGAGAACAAAATTCCAGCTGCCATCTGATTGAGGGCTCTGATTCCATGAGCATCTGTCTGTTCTCCTCACCAGGTGCTGCTCTCTCCGGACATGGATTTTGACCAGTCTGAAAGTGACCAGGATATCTCAGGACTCCAGGGAACAAACCAGAAGATGAAGCAGCCCAGCTACCACGTGGTCATCTGACAGCACTGAGACAAGGGAGGTGGAGGAAGGAAGCAGTACTGTGATTCCTGAGCTGGCTGAGGAAGGATGCAGAATGCAGCTGATCCCTGGGGATCTGTGGAGCCCTGCCTCATGTACGCCTCTCCTTCTGCAGTGTCTCTTCGGGATGGTGTCCATGCAGCCTGTATCTAAGCAGTATCTGCTTTATCTACCCAACCCTACCATAGGCACATTGCAGGCATGTTGAGGTTAGGGTAAGGATGTGTGCTTCCTCTGGCTGGCCAGCTGGGTGTAACTTTGTCAGGCTAGAGACTGAAATCAAAAAGCTCTCTTCTTTTTATAGAAAAATCCTATACTGTCTGAACTGTAACACTTTTATATGCACAGATGCTCTACAGAACTGGTTTGTGATTATATATTTAAATGCCTTGAATTGGGAAGATTGTCTCAGTGGATCTGATGTGTGTTTTTTTTGTTTTTTTTTTTTTTTTACTGTTTTATAAGGACTGCAATAAATATTTGACTTAAAACTGCTTCATATGTGAATTATTTTGCAGTGCCTTGTTTTGTGAGACACTAGCCCTGCCAAAAGGAAGGGGATGAGCTGTTGGGTCATCCCAGATCCTGGCATCTTCTGTTATAGGTTAGAAGTTCCTTTTCTTTCTTGTTAACAGGCTCTGATAATATACAAACAGCAAAAATGCAAAACATTCTGCAGCTCTTAGAGGAGAGAACAGCTGCTTAATGTGCTTGCAGACAGCTGTGCTGAAACTCAGAGTCCAACAGAACGTGGTCTGGTTCGGGTCTGAGCAGGTAGACCTAGGCAAGCTTCGCATACTGTAGAAGTCTCAAGAATTGTTGGGCAGGAGTTGTTTTGATGTTTTTTGGGTGGGGTTGGTTTTTTGTGGGTCTTCTCTCCCTTGTGTTTTCATAGAAAAACTGTTCCTTAATCGGGCATGTAAATAAAGGGTTTGGATTTTCTGACTTTAGAGGGCTCTAGTCCTTTAAAAACAAAGCTGAGAGGATGTGAATTTCCTCGGGTAGCTGTTCTTTCCAACTTCAAAGCAGTTCAGAAGTGTTAGATGCAAATAAGTCTTGTATGCCTCTGAGTGAACTGGACATGCTTGGCTACACTTGCAGCTGTGTAGCCCTATGATGTATTTCTAGAAGTTAAGTCCCTTTTTGTTTGTTCTTTATTTAATGGTCAAAATCCTACTTGTGCTGGTATGCCAAATGGCCGTTGGAACAAATGACACACAGCTCTCTGAACAGCTCATTTATACTGCTTCATGACATCACTCATTGCCAAACAAGCAGAAGTTGAGGAGTCCTCTGCTGGTGAGGGCTGAAGCAACCCCTGTGCTGCTAAAGGTATTGAGTAAAAAGAGTTGGAAACAGCTTCCTGTTAGAGACTTGCCTAGGTGAAATGGCATTTCAGTTTTTTTCTTGCTGTAAGCTGTGTAATGTGATACTATGCAAAAGTACAGTCCTTGTTCTAAAATGGAAGGTAAGTGATGTGATCTCAGTTGGGGAATAAACCTGGTGGTGCTCAGTGCTGGGTGAGGTGGTTCGCAGTGGGCCATCATGATCACTAGGAAGAAACCTTCTTACTTTGAGGGGGACAGAGCCCCAGAACAGGCTGCCAAGAGAGGTGGGAGAGTCTCCTTCACTGGAGATACTGAAAACAGTCACTTCCACTGTGCTCTGGTGTGATTGCTCAGCCTTTGTATCTGAGCAGTTTGTGATCATAAACCACATCGATGCAAAGCAAAGTGCTCTGTGACACTCGTGGAGATGAGAACAGATGTGTGCTTGTCATGCACTTAGCACAATGTTTTACCTGGGGCATCTCTGGGTTATCAAAAAGGGGTGTAAAGATGAAGCCTGGACAATCCTGAGGGAGGAAAAGCATTAACACCCCTTTTTTTAGCTATTGGAACAGGTTGCCCGGAGATGTTCAAGGTTAGGCTGGGTCAGGCTCTGGGCAATCTGATTGAGCTGTAGGTATCCCTGCTTATTGGAGGGGAGTTGGATTAAATGGCCTTTATGGAGGTCCCTTCCAACTCATGATTCTATGGAAGTTGAATCATGAAGTTTTTAGTCCACAACCTGCTTTTGTCCAGTGATCTTGGACCAGCAAGAACATGAACTCTCTTAACTTCAGAGTGGTTCTTTCAGTCATCTGGTAGCATAAGTTTGTCCAGGAGCGTGAAGCATACCTACCCTTAGCTTCAAAGTGCATTTCATCTTTGGTAAATGAGAACTTCATGGTAGCGTTCACTGCAAAATATTTATTGTGAAATGGATAACTGGAACCTTAAGGAGAACTTGAGTACATTGCTCCAGGTGCTTCACATGGTTGGGCAGCTGGACTTGACCATTATTCTTTTCAGACCCTGAAAGAAATATGTTTTCTTGGCTGGGGAGGAGGACCAATGATGCACCTGAAGCGTTAGCAATACATGTGTCTGTATATACATACCTATGTACAGGAGAGATGAGAGCTAACCAAACGGCTCCCACTAGCAATACACTTCAACAGCAAAATGTGGGGGGAGAGTGAAAATATTACTGTGAGGACTGCACGAGGACACCCACCATCTAGAAGTTTGCTGTCACTACCCTCATCCTGTGCTAGAGGAATGGGATGTTACTTTGCAATGGATGAGGTGATGTTCCTACTGTCTTCTTGGGTAGAGAAGTCAACCTCACAGACTCTCCTTTTATTCCCGTCTTGTGAGCATACTGTGAAGTCTCTTTAGTTATTGTGTGATCAGAACTGCCAAAGGTCTTGCCTTTGCTTCTCCTTGCGGGAGAGCTGTTTTCCAAGATAGCCAGGCTCAAAGCAGTAGTTTGGAAAAAACATGGAGACAAAATCATGAGCCTTGACAGACGTTTTGCATTGGCCAAGCTCTCTGGAAGGACCTTGCAGAGCACAGTTCTAGTTGGTTGCACTGGGCTGTTTCCCTCTCCCCATAGAATACAGTGTAAAAAAAGCAACCGTGCTCACTACCTGTTCTGCTGCTGCAGTGCTAACTCAATGATCAAGCAACTAGAAAACAACTCCACCCAACCCAACTCCAGCAGCTGGAGTTCTGACAGCAGCAGTATGACTTTGTTCTTAAATATGCAAAAAATTAGTCAAAATTGAACCTATTTCTGTATGCCTCTGGCAACTTCTTATTTTTCTGCTCACACATGGATATCATTTAGCTCTGGAGATGCTTCCATTAGCTACCCGCCTTCCTTTCTCTAGAAGAGGCAGAGCATGCATGAGTTCAATTTGGCCGCAAAGACTTGGACTTTGTGGTTGTCAGAGTCCTCTTTGGCCAAGTTCTCTACCAGCAAACTCCCCTGTGGCTGATATATAGCATTATTCAGTGGTGCCTCATTTTAAAATAGACCACAGCTTTGCTGTTTGGTTTTGGAGGTTTCTTTGCAGAGCAGAACCACCTGCAGTGGGGGTGGCTGGCAAAACCTCCCCTAAGCTTCTGCTGCCAAATTCCTGCTGTGTACAAATTCCTGCAGGGCAAGGAAGGAGAAGCAGCCAGGGAAACTGGGATGAAATTTTTTGAAGATTCAGAATAAATAAATACTTCTCTGATTAGAAAAGCAGCTACAACTGTCCAGTCTAAAGTCACAATTGAGACACTTCTTTGTAGGTTCACAAGCTATGGAGAGTACATGTTCATTATCTTTCAGCAAATTTAAATCTCTGCAAAGCAGAAATGCTCTGCTCAAGGAAATGGGAGGTCTGCTGGAAGCTCACCATGGAACTTTGCTCCTCTCTGAGGGAGTAACGAATCAGGATGAAATCACGACATTTATAATGTCATTTAAATGGGACAGCTTGAGGAATGACTGCTGGCACCGATCCTATTTCTGCAGAGGACCACAGGTGCTTTTATGCATGCAGCCTGTACTCTAAGACAGCAATAAGCTCTATAAGGGTTTTCACCACTATATTAAGAGTCTGTAGTATTCAGGGTGCAGCATGTTTAGTGGCAAATCCAGACCCTATCCCAGCAGCCAAGAAATCAATACCTTGTTGTGGCCTTAAAGTTTTTATTTCTTTCTTACCTTTTTGATGCTAATGGCTCTCTGCAGATGAATATCCACCCATCTCTCCTCTCCCTCTTCTCTTCCCAGGGACCATGGCTGGAGCATGTACTCCACGTCACTTCCTTGCAAAGTATTTTCACCCAAGGTTGCCTCCCTAGATAGGCACTGTGATGTATGATTCACGCCTTTCGTGGGTGACTCACAGACCCTGGGGTTATTGCACAGATCCCTGAATGGATTTAAGGCAGGCAGCTCTCTGCATTTATAGGACTGCCAGCCCCTTTCTCCCTCCTGACCCACTAGGAGAACACCAATCACAACTTTAACTGTATCCTCAATCCTTTCCTCCCACCTCCTTGTCTTCACGAATTTGATGAACCCTGTTCATGTAGCATGAATTAGAGACAGTGGATTTCCAAGGGCAACAAGATTTGGTTTCTTTGGCACCAAAAAGTATAGAAATATTCATAAATTGCCTATCTCTAGAGGCTTCAGAAGGGACCCGCTGTCACACATGCTGCTGCAATGCATTGCTATGATCAGTCTTAAAGGCTGTTTCTCGTCCCAGGGCTGGTCCCAGTGTCAAAAGGATGAGAAGCCAAATAGTCTTTATAGCTGCCATCAATCAGTTTGTCTGCATTGTTTTTGGCAAACCAGCAGTCAACTTGCTGCTGGCCATTGTAGATCCTCCTTTGCTTCCACACAACAGGAACAAGCCGGCCCTTCACTTTCAGAGTGTTTGTAAGGTTTGGCTGTAATGCTTCGGTTTGGTTTTGGCCAACTTGCTGTTGATTTATGTTTAAAGATTCCCGAAGAAGTTTAACTTCATGGCTCAAGAACTGACCTGCAACACAATATAAAACACATCACTTTCATGGTTGCTTTGTGCCTACGTATAAGTAAATTTTAAAATAGGTTATATTTTGAGGGTTCTCAGAGTGCAGAGTTGTTTACAGCTTCTCTGCAATAGCAGGACGAGTCTAGGTCCTGAGATACTTTAATAAAACTTGTGAAGACAGAGATTAGAATAAGACCTTATTTCTTGTCCACTGACTGAGCTAAAGAGCTTCTTGATCTGCTAGTAGGTAGTAAGTTCCCCTCTGTAGGCCATGGTTACTAGAGGATGATAGCCCAAAGCCTATCAGCAAGTGGAAAGACTGTCTAGGCCTATAACACCAAGTTCTCCTCTCTAAACCTCTTAATCTCTTTTAGGCAGATGCAAAGGGCCTGAATCCAAAACTCCAAACTTGAAGGATCATCTCCTGCTCAGCCTGAGAATGCCTGAACGTCATGGAAACTGGCTTCAGCCTTAGTTCTGTATATGTGTATGGCCATAAACATCACTTCTTGTCATCCAAAAAGAGCCTAACTGTTCAGACATTCTCTGAACCTTCCTAAAGCCCAGCTGCTCTCAGAATGTGGGGATGGTTCATATTAAAAAAATTGAAAGAAAAGGGTAACAAGAAATACTAATGTTTCTTAATCTCAATCAGGCTCAAATGTAAACAACTCATTCCTACAAAGACAGACCTTCATGTGTATGGAAGTACAGAATTTGAAGGCTGTAAGCCAATGATCTCTGGCAATGCACTAGCTCTGTGACCAAAAGTCTCTTTTGGGATCTGCAAGACCTCAGCTGACTCTCCTTTCTGCTTAGAGAGGGTCAGACCCAATTCTGTTACATCCTGAGAGCACGTAGCTGCTGATCTATTCTAATTTAGAACTGTTATTGGAGAACATTTTATTGATGCCTTATTAGGGGTTCTTGTGAAATATTTGCATTCTCTCTCTGTATTATTTATCTTTGTGAGCTTCTAGTATGTGCATTCAAATGACAGCTGCATTAAACAATCATTAAAATAGTGGTAATGGGTAACACAGGCACAGA